CCCCAAAACCCCAAAACCCCAAAACCCCAAAACCCCAAAACCCCTTAAAATCAAATAATTTATAAATTAATATGAAAATTGTGAAAACAATCATTTTGATTCTATCCTTTTTCCTAATCTGAGTCTACCTTTATGACAAGCAGATGATTATCAAGCGATTCAGCTTCGATATGGAGTCTAAGCACATGCCTCATGCCTATCATACCTTTGGAGCATCCACAAAACTGAAGAACAAGATTAAGCTTATCCCTGAAGTGGATCTTAGATATGGAGGGGTTTTCCTAAACCAGAAGTATAGGTCTACCTCTTTCTCTATGGACTTTACATTCAAGATTAATTCTCCCACACAGAGCTCGGATGGATTCGTGTTCTGGTTTACCCCTGAAATTCCCACATTTGACTTTAAATCTGGCAGAATTCATGGTGTAGAGCAGAAAACCAGTGGATTCTCCATATGGCTTCATAAAGACGAGAGAGCAAGAGAAGGAACTAGGTAAGAATCTTTGCTTTGGAGTTTGCACTATTTGTCATTGGATGAACCTTAACTCGCAATATAGATGGAGACTTTTTGGACATTATGATGCAGGCAAGGGCGTACCACTTGAAAGAGGTAAAATCTTGCCTGAGAATTCATGTACCTTCATGATTGATCCGACCCGAGTACCTGCTAAAGTTCGAGTTGAAAAGATAGAATCTCAGATCAAGGTCTTTGTGATAGATGACAACTCCAACTCAGAAAATTGGAGATCATGAATCACTACTAGATACAATGGAATTCCAAAGGATGGATTCTTCGGATTTACTTCAGGAAATGCCAATGGGATTAGGAATGATATCGACATCCTCAAAATAATAATCGCAGACCTTGATCCAAACTCCCCATACGTTCAATTTGATGATGACAAGAAAACAGAAACCAGATATTTCTCTCTAAAAGATGAAGAAGAAAAAGAATATGAAGATGATCCAGAAACAGCCAATGACATTTTCCACATGAAGAGAAAAGTTAGTAAATACTCTGAAGCAGGGAAAGGAATTCAGTTCTTATCATCAGACTCCCAAGAAGACGTTCTTTACAAAGTTTATGAAGGTCTGCATCAGTTCAACCTTAATATGAAAGAGATGATCAAAGAAGCTAGGTATAAACTAATGGATCCCAACTCTAAAGTTGAAGAAACAAGTGTGCCTAATCTCATGAAAGACCTTACATACACAAGGGACTCTATAGAGTATATGGGACAGAGCATTAACAACCTTAACAAAACTTTGAACTATTTGCTCAGTGGGCAATACGCCCAAGATGCAGCGAGAATGCAGCAAACTGCAACGTACCAAGTATCTGCTGAAGAAGATGTCATCGGTAATTCACTCCTCCTAAATTTATAGATAGATTAAATGTAAAACTCACTGAATTAGAAAGAAAATATGAAAGTCATAAAGGGACTTTAGAGACTAAAATTGTAAATATCAACAGGCAGACTCAGATCCATAACCAAGAGATGAAAAGCAGAGTGCAGCAGAAGATGAGTGAGATCGGGAACATCAACAGTACGCAAGAAGGTGATGGGCTGTTCTATATCCTCCTGGCCTCTGTAGTTCTCCTCGGGATCTTCATCTACATCAACCGTAAAATGCAGGAGAGCAAGAAGAAGCATATTTTGTAAAAATGCAGACTCAATTATCCAATTTCATAAGGGGTTTTGGGGTTTTGGGGTTTTGGGG